ATTTGTTCTGTAAACCTTCACCTGAAATACAATAAAAATAAAAAATAAAAAAGATTATCTTTTAATACCAGGAAAATCTCTGAGTAGCAAATGCCTCTATTATACTTAAGTTGAAATAAAAGGTAGGGGAGGGGGTCAGAGCCCTTGTCTGTGAGCAGATATCTCAGTGACAGTTGAGTCTGATTTCCTTAAAATGACTAGATTGAAAAATTGGAAAAATAAACTACTGATTCAAAACGTTTTTAGACTTTAAGCTTTTAAATATATCCAAAATGCAGTTAAATATGTTTCTCCCTCACTCTAGAGAACATCTACTGTAAGCAATTTATTCTAATTTTTAGATACATATTTCAAAAACCTTATTCTAATTGAAAATTAAATCTAACAATAGCAGACAAGTAATATTATTGACATTCAGGGTATTACTAAACCTTTCCTTCTTGTCAATTCTTGTTAAAGTATATATTCTGAGTTTTACTTTATCATTCTGACAGTTTCAATGACTGCGTTTTTACCAAATAAATCTATCTTTGTTGGTGCCTGCTGCTAAGTGATTATTTCCCTTGAAATTGTAATTTTGTGGGTTTGAATGATTGAAGGAAAGGTCATTAACAACAGCTACCTTATCATTGTTATTTCCCTAGCATAAGCCAGCTAATTGCTATGATACCTCAGTACTGGAAAAGACAAAAGGAAAAGGGGAGACCCATAATAACAGACCTTTTGCTATATTTGCAACTTGCTGTGCAAATTGATAGTTTTAAAGCATTGGAAAACTAGGAATCTTCCCATTAGCTGTACTTTACTATATAATTATAATATTTTTATCCCTAAAAAAGAAAATAGCAAATTATACGGGCTAATGGCTAGATTTTGTAAGAACAGGTAGAAGAAAAATCAACATAGTTTTATTATTAATATTACTCCAAGAATTTTCACTCTTTAAAATGGGAAAGGAAACTAACATTGACTGTGTCATACGTTATGCTGTGTGCTTTCTGTCCCTTGTGCCTCATTTTGCTCCTCACAACGTTCTCACTTTATAAATGAGTAAACAGACCCAAAGGCATGCAAGCCATAAATGGTGTAGTGCAGATTTGACTTCAAGTCAGCTGACTCCTAAGCCTTTGATGAATAAGACCTTTAAAAAATTTCTACTTTCCCATGTTCCTAATTTTATATTTTGAAGACTCCTCCATCAGTCATTGCTCAGAATACTTATCAAAAGTAAAATGTGCGTGTAAAATATTAACAGTGAATTTGGAAAGCACTGGGATTTTAGGTGTCGAGTTAAGTAGCTGAGCATTCAGTCTATTAAATAGTGATCTCTCTTTGGACTCTTTAAAGGGGGGAAGCTATAGAAGTAAATTGTATTGTCCACTATTTTTCAGGGTAACTCCTGATGAGATTGTATTACATTATATTTTAACAGAATTTTTTTCTTTGTAGGGAATGCTATTTTGTTTGTAGTCAGACCAGCCTAGAAATAACTTTCTTACCAACTTTTGTATCCTGTTTTGTTTTAAAGAATTTCAATTTTATTATAGCAGTTTATCTATAATGTATATTTTGCCCCTATAAAATTTTGCCTTTTGTCCAAGAATTCTAATCTTTTTAAAAACTAAAAAAATAAATAAATAAATAAAAGGTATTTTAGGTGGAAGAAAATATAGCAGAAAAGAAACTTGTAAGAGTGTCCCTCGACTGTGTTAAATGAGTCTGCAAATTGCAATGAACATCTATTAATTTTAAGCATTATGAGATTAAACATTAAGAGAAATTATATAATTTTTAGGAGTTTCAAAAGTAAAATAAATATAACCAGACTCCTATTAAAACTTTTTTTTTTTAGTTATTAAAATGGAAGTCATTTTCCCAAGCAAGCATAGTAAAGTTCCTAGACCCAAGCTCATAAATAACCTGTAGATCAGTTAATTGTTTTAACTTAGAAGGTCAAGAACATAACTGCTATAAATTTAAGAGTGTGGTTGTCCTCACCCCAAATGAATGGGCAGTAAGTCCTTTAAGCCATTAGTTCTGATGGTCACTGGCAGGACTGAGGGCTTGGAGGTGTAAAACGCAGAGGTTCTAGCAGCAGGGAAGGGAGAGTAGGAGATATCCAGTGGAGAAATGAGATTGGTGGCAGGCAGTAAGAAACAAGGTTAAGACTTAGGAATTCTGGGGGAAAATTGCTGCTGGTGATGTTAGAAATAAATCGAGACATTTGAGGTGCCAGGCACTGTTCTGAAAACTTTACAATTATTATTTAATCATCACAGCAGTCTGTGAGGTAGGTGCTATTACTTCATTCCTTTTTCAGACAAGGTAAAAGGTTGAACTGAGAGGTTGGGTTAGTCAGGGTTGCAGCAGAAAGCAGATGGCACACTCAGATTGAGTAATTTAAGGAGAGTTTAATAAAGAGACTCCTTACAAAGTTGTGGGCAGAGTTTAAGAAAATTAACAAGGGATGATGTGGTACTTCAACCCTAAGCCTGAAGGGGCAAGATGGCAAACAGTTATCTGAACCCATAGAGACGCAGCTTCATGGGGAGAGCTGTGTGATAAGCAGTGGCCTTCAGGGGAGGGATATGGCCCACCCACAGAGACAGAGAAGGAAGGGAGCCAGGGGAACAAACATCCCAACCTCACTGTTTCTAGTGTCTGATGCCTCTTTCTGGCCAAACCCACCTGGAAGCTGAAGGGCAACGGAGCCTGTTTTTGTAGTCCAAGTGGTAGCCTCTCAAGGCATAAGTCACAGTGGAGAAGGGTGGAAAATGGACCTGAGGGCCCACTTATGGGTGATAGGGAGGGGAAGCTTTGGCACAGTAATGAGTAGAGGTGGAGACATTTGAGGTGCCAAGCACTGTTCTGAGAACTTTTTTCCATCTCTTCTCTCCATTTTCTTACCATTTGCCCCCAATCCCACTAAACTTTCTGGAACTAGGTAAGAAGCAGGGAAAAAGGTGTGGGTAGGAGCAGTGAAGAGGAAAATTTGAATGTCTAAGAGATATCCCAGGGTTAGAACACCGAGATAGTTGTTCCTTAAGATGTGTAGATTATATAAATTGACTATTTACAGTTTGAAACTGCTTACCTTATTTTTATGCAAATAAGGTGCATGTTATATTTTTTTGCCAACCCTACAAACACCCCCTCCCCCATTTTTGTAAGCACACTATGCTGTGTGTTATATGTGTGGGCACATTATTTGTGAAAAATTATGGTAAATGTCAGAATGAGTGAGGCTTTTTAGGACTAATTTCTCCTGAAAATTGGTAGATGGTCTAGAACTATGACGTCCAATATGGTAGTTGCTAGCTATACGTGGCTACTTAAATTTTAATTCCATTTAAATAAAATATAAAATTCAGTTGCTACCCAGGGTGGAAAGGGGGAGAATACTATCACATTGCAGGGATTGCAGCTAATGACACAAAACAATTTGTGTTTAAATTTTTGAATGAAAACTAATTTGTGCTGTAAACTTTCATCTAAACCATAGCCAAAGCTGTTGCTGTGGAGTTGACTCTGGACTCATAGCAACCCTATAGGACAGAGTAGAATTGCTCCATAGGGTTTCCAAGGAGCGGGTGGTGCATCCAAACTGCTGACCTTTTGGTTAGTAGCCAACTTCTTCACCACTTTGCCACTAGAGCTCCTAACTTTCACCAAAGCACAATAAAAATAAAATGTTATTTGGCTAATGAAAAAAAAAATCAATTGCTCAGTCTCGCTAGCCACATTTCAAGTACTCAGTAGTTAGTGCAGTATTGGGCAGCACAGATAATGAACACTTCCATCACTACAGAAAGTTCTATTGAACAGCACAAGTCTCTACCAGGTCTTATGTTTTGACTGAGAACAAGTGGGTATTGACCAACGTTTGAATCCTGGCTTTAACTCTTAGTAACTGCAGGAAAATAGTTTACTGCTTTAAGCCTTAGTTTTCCCACCTGTAAAATAAAGATAGCAGTATCTACTTTTAAGGTTGTTGTGAAGATTTAATGAGCTATTATATATAAAGTGTTATCATATTTAAAGTATTTATCAGCATACAGTCGGGTGCTCAGTAAACACTAGTTAAGTCTTATTAGTCTCTGTTTGGGTAAGCTTTATGATTTGAGTTATATACATAACTCTTTGCAGATCTCAGAATGTATCCAGGAACATTTCATGAAGTCTAAAGAAAACATCCCTCTAGTTATGCCACTGAATGAACTGTGCCTATCTATATGACCAAAAACTATCTTCAAACTAGTTTTTTTTTTTTTTTTTAAAGCATTCCATTTGCCAAATCTCAGTGCAGCCTTCATAGATTCTTCAGAACTAAATGGGACCTCAAAGATACATATAGTCAAATCTCCTCATTGTACAGATGAGTAAACAGGTCCAGCAAGATGAAGCATAACTAGTGAATGACAGAGTCAGAGCCAGTTAATATTCAGATCACATGACTCCCATTTCACTAAAAGGTACTAAAATTGAGTTTAGATGGTACAAAGTCTTGGGCAAGCATTTTTTAAAAAGGTTTTCATTAATGCAATTAGCCTTTTTCTGACTTACAAACTGTTCAGATTTTCCATAGTGGTTGACTAAAAGGGGAAAAGCAAAGACTTAACATGAGGGCTTTGAACGAGAACAGAACCAAAAACCAAAACTTAAAAATACTTCAGTTTTTACCAGAGTGAAACCAAAACCCAAATCGAAAAAAAATGTTTTTCTGAACCTGAACCGAAATCGAAAACCGTTACTTTTTTCGCTCCGCTATTTCTGGTTCAACGATAATTTTTAAGTTGTAAGCAAGACCATTGAACCGTTTGTGTTTGATTTATACCTGGCATCCATGTGTGCTAAATGCTTCTCAGGCACATGGCTGGTTAGGGCACAGTTCATTGTGACATTGCACAGCTGTAGCTATAGGTGACGACTGCTGTTATGCAAGACGAGTCACAGGCCAGTCAGAGTTCGCCATTTCTGTTCCATGCTTGACTCTCTCGCAGTAACCCGAGCTGTGCCTACCAAAAATGTGAGAAACGCTCGGCGATTGAGAACACTCGCTTATAGTCAGAAATCTGAAAGAGATGGTTAAACTGCATTGAGTTCTGAACAGAGCGTCATGTGAACTAAGACATTTGTCAGGTGAGTGTAAACATTTTAAACATACATTATTCACATTTTTAAGTATGATACTTAAATTCAAGAAATAGAAAATAGCATATAATTTTTTGATGGTTCCATTCTTGTATTCATCCTCAATTTAAATGTGCTGCCACACATTGTACTTATATGTTTAAATTTGGTATTTATCTCACAAATTGAAATGTTAACAAACATCAGCAACCATTGGGAAGAAAATTAATGTTTCAGTTGTGATATTACTGTTATTTCACAGAAGATAACTTGATGGCATCACTGTGAAGTGAGATTTGTCTTCAAAAGGTGCTGGATAAATGTACAAGAACGTTGTAAAGTGGGACTTCGAATGGAAGAAATCGGCAAACCTTGTGAATGTAAAATTGAAGTTATTCCGGTTTTTCTAATATACTGACGATACATGGTTAGAAGCATTTTAATATGTAGTGGCTCTAATTCATTTCTACAAATGTATTTATGCATTCTATTCTCTTTAAGTTATCAAAGTCTAAGACTTGTTTTTACTGTAATGTAATATAGTGAATATAAAATATGCCCTAATATTATATTGTTTCTTATCCCTTGAATTCTAGTATGGTACAAACCAGAGGAAATCCATGTTGAGAATTTTTCAAGTATGAAAAGATTGAAAATAAAAGCACATGTAAAATATGCAACATAGATATGGTTGGAGACCATGCAACGGATTTAGAGAGGCACCTAACGTGTCACAATGTGGATGAATACAGTGCAGTGCAAAGCAAAAAGACAAAGAAATTTGAAGAAAGTGTCAAAAGTGTTCTGAATAAGCAACAAAAGACATTAGACAAGTTTTCCATTCCTGAATACCTTAAGGTGAAATTAGATAAACAATTGTCGATGCATGTGTTAAGTTAGTTACTGTTAATGGTTGTTCATTTGAGTTAATTGAGTATTCAGGATCCCATAAAATTTTAAATCCAATGATTGCTTCAATTGGTCAAAATTTTTCAGTCAATTCAGAGAATATTAGGGAAATGATATCTCACACGTCCTTAAAACTTAGCTCCAAAATTAATAGTAAGTCTAGAAAAATGAATATTCTCTTTGAAAGTGAATGTGGCCAGTAGATTCAGTCGGTCAATTCTAGGATTTAATGCTCAGTTCGCACAAGACAGTAAGACAAATCTGTTGTCACTGGGAAATAAAGAATTCAAAGAAAGACACACAGGCCTGTACATAGAGAACACTGTGTATCAAATTTTAGAGAAGTGCATTGATTTACAGCACATTTATTCTGTAACCACAAATAATGGCTCTAATATAATTAAATTTGTTGATTTGCTCAGAAATAATAGTGAAATCAAATGGCAAATGTCAGGGCAGAATGACAATTTTGAAGACTCTAACTTAGCATACTGTGACTTGCAGACATTAACCATCGTAGAGTGCAGTGAAATAGACAAGGTTTATAAGAAAAGATTGGTATAAAGTGTGCTGCACACACACTTCACTTAGTTATTAAAGACGCAATACAGGATGCTGAGCTGGAGGAATTTTTAGGAGAATGTTGTAAACTTGTTCAAATACTTCGTATTCCAACATTGCCTACCAAATTTTTGGAAAATAAGGAAACCTGTACTAAATTGCCCAACAAAATGGAACAGTATATCTACCATGTTAGAAACCTTACTAGGATGCAAAAATCTCTGCAAAATATTAGCTGAGAATAATATGAAAGAGATCCATATTCATGCCCATTCCAAAGAAAGGTGATCCAATGGAATGCGGAAATTATCGAACAATATCATTAATATCACAAACAAGTAAAATTTTGCTGAAGATAATTCAAAAACGGTTGCAGCAGTACATCGACAGGGAACTACCAGAAATTTAAGCTGGATTCAGGGGAGAAAGTGGAATGAGGGATATCATTGCTGATGTCAGATGGATCTTGGCTGAAAGCAGAGAATACCAGAAAGATGTTTACTTGTGTTTTATTGACTATGCAAAGACATTCGACTGTGTGGATCATAACAAATTATGGATAACATTGCGAAGGATAGGAATTACCGAACCCTAAATTATGGTTATGTGGAAGCTGTACATAGACCAAGAGGCAGTCATTCCAACAGAAGAAGGGGATACTGCATGGTTTAAAATCAGGAAAGGCGTGCACCAGGATTGTATACTTTCACAATAATTGTTCAGTCTGTATCTGAGTAAATAATCTGAGAAGCTGGACTATATGAAGAAGAATTTGGCATCAGGATTGGAGGAAGACTCATTAACAACCTGCGATATGCAGATGATACAACCTTGCTTGCTGAAAGTGAAGAGGACTTGAAGCGCTTACTGACGGAGATCAAAGACTATAGCCTTCAGTATGGATTATATGTCAACATAAAGAAAACAAAAATCCTCACAACTGGACCAGTAAGCAACATCATGATAAATGGAGAAAATATTGAAGTTGTTAAGGATTTCATTTTACTTATCTCCGCAATCAACACCCATGGAAGCAGCAGTCAAGAAATCAAAAGATGCATTGCATTGGGCAAATCTGCTGCAAAAGACCTCTTCCAAAGTGTTCAAAAGCAAAGATGTTACTTTGAGGACTAAAGTATGCCTGACCCAAGCCGTGGTATTTTTAATCACCTCATATACATGCAAAAGCTAGACAGTGAATAAGGAAGATCAAGTAAAAATTCATGCATTTGAATTATGGTGGTAGCGAAGAATGTTGAATACACCATGGACTGCCAGAAGAACAAACAAATCTGTTTTGGAAGAAACACAGCCAGAATGTTCCTTAGAAATGAAGATGGTGAGACTTCATCTCACGTGCTTTGTACATATTAGCAGGAGGGACCAGTCCCTGGAGAAGGATATCGTCTCGGTTCTCTAGTGCTGCTATAACAGAAATACCACAAATGGATGGCTTTGACAAACAAAAATGTTTTCTGTCACAGTTTAGGAGGCTGGAAGTCCGAATTCTGGGTGCCAGCTCCAGGGGAAGGCTTTCTCTCTGTGTTGGCTCTGGGGGAAGGTCCTTGTTATCAATCTTTCCCTGGTCTAGAAGCTTCTCTATGCAGGAACCCTGGGTCCAAAGGACTTGCTCTGCTCCTGGCACTGCTTTATTGGTAGTATGAGTTCCCCCTGTCTCTCTGCCAGCTTCTTTCTTTTATATCTCAAAAGAAATTGACTTAAGACACAACCTAATCTTGTAGATTGAGTCCTGCCTCATTAACATAACTGCCTGTAGTCCTGCCTCATGAACATCATAAAAGTAGGATTTACATAGGAAAATCACATCAGATGACAAAATGGTAGACAATCACACAATACTGGGAATCATGGCCTAGCCAAGTTGACACACATTTTTGGGTGACATAATTCAATCCATAACAGATATCATGCTTGGTAAAGTAGAGGGTCAGTGCAAAAGAGGAAGACCCTCAATAAGATGGTGTCTTAGTCATCTAGTGCTGCTATAACAGACATATCATAAGTGGATGGCTTTTAACAAAGAAAAATTTATCCTCTCACAGTCTAGTAAGGCTACAAGTCCAAGTTTAAGGCATCAGCTCCATAGGAAGGCTTTCTCTCTCTGTCAGCTCTGGCAGAAGGTCCTTGTGATGCATCAGTCTTCCCTTGGTTTGGGAGCATCTCAGTGCAGGAACCTCAGGTCCAAAGGACGTGCTCTCCTCCTGGCACCACTTTCTTGGTTCCCATGTGTCTCTGCTCGCTTCTCTCTTTTATATCTCAAAAGAGATTGGCTTAAGACACTATCCAATCTTGTGTACCTCATCAGTATAACTGCCGCTAATCCATTTTATTACATCATAGTGATTGAATTTACAACACAGAAATCACATCAGATTACAAAATGGTACACAATTATACAATACTGGGAATCATGACCTAGCCAAGTTGACAGACATTTTTAGGGGACACAACTCAATACATGACAGATGGATTGACACAGTGGCTGCAACAATGGGCTCAAACATAGCAACGATTGTGAGGATGGTGCAGGACCCGGCAGTGTTTGTTCTGTTCATAGCGTCGCTGTAAGTCGGATTTGACTCGACAGCATCTAACAACAATGACAAATGAGCATATGTCAGATTAATTTTGGAAACTTGAAAACCTTTAAAGGAAGTTACAGTAAGATTGCAAAGTGAACAATTGATCATGAGTGATGTTTTTGGTATGTGGGTAGAAACTAAGCTAATATTAAGAACTCTTAATAATGCATTTGGAAACACATTGATTGAAAAATTTAATGTCAGGGCAAAAGTTATCTTAAAAATGATAACATATTAGGAGCAGTTTACCTAGATCCTCATTATCAAATTTTAATTAGTTCTGAACTTAAGGTGAAGGCCATATTACATTTAAAAAGCATTTGAGAAATGATAGAAAATCTGAAAAGGAGCAATACTGAAAGTGTAATAAATATTCAGGGAATATTCTCATTTCAAATGATGGTGTTGATGAGATGGAATTATTTCTCAGAATGAAAGAAAAAACAATTAAATTGAGATCAGATAACTGTACTATTAATACTAACTCTATATTAACAAGCCTTGATGGTATACAAAGAGTTGAGAGAAAAAAAAATTCTTAAATCTGGGGAAGAAAACCATTCACAATATCCCCAGTTTTATGAAATTGCTATGGTAGTTTTGGGTGCACCAGCTACTCTGATCAGTGTTGAGAGAGCTTTCTCAGGTTTGAAATTCATCTTGCGAGACAATAGGGATAGCTTAAATGAAAAAATGTTAGAGGACGTTCTTTTGATTAGGCATAATTATGGTTTAGTGCAATGATGTTTTCTAAATGAGCTGTGTAATTGTGTGTGAATTAAATCTATATCTGTAATACAGTGTTTATTTTATGTAATGTGATGGCAATTCTTCAGCTTAGGACTGGGGTGAATATTAAAGTATTAAATATTTTATTGTATTTTATCTTTATGTATTGATGTATTAGGTATGCTCGCACGCTTTGTATTTATAATATTTCATGAATAAATTCATATCCATTTTACATTAACTGTTTTTAGAAGTGAAATGTCACTTACCTAAAAATTAAATATGTTTTCATATTTAATATTTAGGTGAAAGTTTACAGTGCAAATGTTTTTAGGCTGTAGTCCTAAAATACTGTATTGTATACAGTATTTTAGAAGTGTTTCTATCACGATACTGTTTTTAAAGTCACTCAGTGCTGCAGTGAATTCTGTTGTTGTTAGGTGCCATCAAGTCTGTTCTGACTCACAGGGACCCCATGTACAACAGAAAGAACCACTGCCCGGTCCTCCACCATCCTCACAATCGTTGTTATGTTTGAGCCCATTGTTGCAGCCACTGTGTCAGTCCAGCTCATTGAGGGTCTTCCGCTCTTTTGCTGACCCTCTACTTTACCAAGCATGATGTCCTTCTGCAGGGACTGATCCCTCCTGATAACATGTCCAAAGTATGTGAGACAAAGCTGTGCCATCCTTGCCTCTGAGGAGCATTCTGGCTGTACTTCCTCCAAGGTGAATTTGTTCGTTCTTCTGGCAATCCATAGTATATTCAGTGTTCTTCACCAACATCATAATTCAAAGGTGTCAATTCTTCTTCTGTCTTCCTTATTCATTGCCCAGCTTTCGCATGCATATGAGGTGATTGAAAACACCATGGCTTGGGTCAGGCGCACTTTAGTGTTTAAAGTGACATCTTTGCTTTTGAACACTTTAAAGAGGTCTTTTGCAGCAGCTTTTCCCAATGCAAGATGTCATTTGATTTCTTGACTGCTGCTTCCATGGGTGTTGCCTTAGATCCAGGTTAAATTAAATCTTTGACAGCTTCAGTGTTTTCTCCATT